TATTCATAAATTCAATTTATAAAATTTAAAAAACAAAAGCAAGCGTTTCTTCAATTTTTTTCTGTTTTTTTTACTGTGAACAGTTTTTATACATCAATTGTGATTGGCTTGTTAGAATTTAAACCAAACTTAAGTTGTTGCTCAGAATTTTTTCAACAAATTCAATATGCATAAATTAACAAAAAAATTAAAAATCCTCTTATTTTATGCTGATAATTGTCGGTGATACTTTGTCTAAATGGTTTCCTTTGATGCCATAAAATTCCGATTTTCAATTACTGCTTTGGGTTGTATTTGCTTTCAGGACATTTATGTGCCAGACATTTATGTCCAGGCAAAAACAGCCCAAAAAGCAAAATGTCCAAGACATTTGCTTCCCAGACAAAACTGTCCCAAAATTTTCCGGGCTATGGCCACACTAGTTAATGATCAGATTAATTTGATAAGCTCTCAATAGGAAGGATTAAAACGATAGGGCCACGCAACTGAGCAATTAGAACAGAAATTACTTTGCGCAGCATATTAGAGACAAAATTAAGACAGGACTCAAATCATTTACGCTTACCTACACAATTATCGCTTGATTGATAATGTTGCCAAATTTAGACACGAGAGATCATATTTTCATTGTTATTGCTCTCGAGTTCATGTTGACAATGGAAATTTTTATGGCAAATAAAAACAACGAAATGCTATTTTATGATGCATACGCATACTTCAAACATCGGATTCTAACAGACACCTCAATTTCGTGTTTTATCTAAATGCAATGGCCGTGTTCGCACTTTCCAAAATAACGTCACTTTTATTAAGGATCACAGTCATTTTCCCGATCCAATCGATATTGAAAAACGAAAAATCAGGACAGCTCTCAAAACAAGAGCAGTTGTGGCAGATGAGCCACCACGTCAAACAATTCTTTCCGTTCAAAGAGACATCAACAGAGACACTGCAGCAGTAACCCCGAGCTAAAACTCCAACCAGAGGACGATTAACAAAGGAAAACAGAAGAAATGGCCTAGAATGCAGGAACCCCAATCCCTAATTAATTTTGAACTGCCAGAGTTGCTGAAAGTGACACAGAGTGGCGAGCGTTTCCTTCATTTTGACTCTGGACCTTATGATATCCAGCGAAAAATGGTTTTTCACCGCTCTTCCGGGACTCGACTTGCTCAGTGGCGCTGATGATTGGTTCTGCGATGGCACCTTTTCTACGGCCCTAGTGCGTTCTTTCAGAAATACTTCATCCACGCATGATAACCGGGCGACCCAGAAGCAACAGTGTTGGAGGTTGGAATAGCAACTCTGTCAAGCTCGTGAACGGCAAGCACCCATCATTTTCCAAACTTATAGAAAAATTTCAAGACGAACAGAAAAACGTTGAAATCTTGATCGAAAAGTTGTGTGCCGGGCAAAAAGTATCACGTTATAAAAAACCTCTTTTTGTCAAACTTGACACAAACTTTTCCGAATTAGTTGCGGTCTACGACCCAAGAAAACTTCTAAGTTTCCTAAAAGGGCGCAGCAGCAACATCAAATTATTATTCAAAGTCAATTTATTTTGCAAAGTTGATATTGCGAAGCAATAATTTTCAATAAATTTTTCTAAGTTGAGTTTTTCCCAGAAATTTTCAAAATTGAGCTGAACCCGTTTTGAAATTGGTAATATGATCAATGTAACCAAGCTTTTCCCATCCTTTTCCCTTTTGGCTCAATCAGGTCAACCCAATTCAAATTTGCCCTAGTTTACCCAATTTTGGGTTTTATAATTTCATATATTGGCTAATTACGAAAAGTTTTTGTCGGACCCGAGATTTGAACTTCAGACTTTTTGACCTTGATACTTATGACTTCATCGCTCGGCCAAATGCGCTTTTAAATTGTAAATTGTTCTTGAAAATTTTGTCTCACTTTTACTGTTCTATAGCTAATTGTTACGCATAGAATCTAATTAAAGAACTATCAAACAACCTCAAAAGCCAAAGCATTAAAGATCACAAGGTCAAATCAAAGAAATTTTGCAAAACAGTTTCGGACAATTTTGTCCGGGACATAAATGTCTGGTACAATTTTATAATTTCGGACTGTTTTGTCAAGGACACAAATGTCTGGGAAGGCATTATTTACGGCAGCTATAGAAAAGCAGAACTCTAGTTTTGATTCGACATATAATGCTCTGTGCTTTCTTCGTTCATTGTTTCGATATATATTTAGTCTTCGCAGAACATGATGATCAGTGTTCAGTGAGTTATTTTTATCCTTGTCTCAGGCTGCAGTCTAACAAATCAGTAATTACTGGAATATTTGGGCTCTTTGGGGGTTTAAAGATTGCGATTATGCCCAATTTGGGACAATTAACGCGCGATATCTTTAGGGCTATTAACGCGTAAGCGGAGATTTAATCAGTCTTAAAAATAGTCCCAAATTGGTTCAAGGAAGCTTATCTGCCATAATTGATTTGTTAATATGAGCAAAACCTATCACTTTGCACTTAATATGACGTGTGGGGGATGTTTTCACAAAAATTCTCAAATTAAAAAAATATACATTTTTATTTTTTTTTACATTTGAATTTTTCATGTTATTACAGCTTCATAGATCTTAAAAGGCAGTCCGAACATTCAAAGATTCGTCCTGATACGAGCAGTTTTGTTGTTCCGACTTTCGATACGAAAGTGACGGAATATTTGTGCTCGGGGTGGTTTTTTTTCTTCAGACAAACTTCGACTTTTTAACTAGCCATTTTTGACGGAATTTTTTATATCATTCGAAAACCATTGTTGCCTTGAGCTTAAATTCGAAAAGATATTTCACCTGTGTTTATTTTTCGAGAAGTTATGAGGGTTTAAAGATTGCCATTTTGACCAATTTAGGACAATTAACGCGCGATATAGTTCGCGCTATTAACGCGTAAGCGCAGATTTAATCCGTCTTAGAAATCGTTGCAAATTATTTGGAAGAAGCTTATTTGCCATAATTGATTTGCTACAAGAATTTATCCTTTCGAACTTTAAATGGCGTGTGGGGGGATGATTTTAATACCAAACTTCAAATTTTAGAAAAAAAAATTTTTTCATTTTGTTTTATTTCATTTAATTCTTAAATGTTCTTACTGGTCGATAAACCTCGAAAGGCAGTCGGAACATTCAGGGCTTCGCCCTGATACGAGCAGTCGTGTTTGTTTTAGATATACGAATACAGTTTTCTGCCACCTGCACTTTTGCTTGTTCATTATGGATAAGCAACAGTGATGGCGAGAATACAATAGTGTTTTCGGAGCAACAGGCTGTAGCCCAATCCCAGAGATGGATCAGTTTTTGCTGAGCGCATGTTTAATTGAATCAATGCTATTTCAACAATCATCCAGAGCTGTATCAAATTTGCTTTCTGATTTGGCCCCGATCAAGGCTTAATTGGCGTTTACGTGCTTTTACGTTACCAGTGTTTCATTGCTGAAACAGTATAGTTACAAACTGCTCAGCGACTCTAATCCGTTTTTCATACAACTTTTCAACTGTTGCGCAATATGTGAATGATAAAATTGATTTTCATAAAATTTCACGGGTATGCAGTTCAGAAGGTCCAAAAAGTTCAGTGGCGGATTAAGGGGGGGGGGCTGACAATAGGAAATCCATTTTGTTCCGACCGACACTAAAGTTACAGGGTTTTAGGAGAGCTTGGAAAATCATTTTGGTAGACCTAGAAAGTTTTTTTTTTGTAATTCCGCCCCCAACCCCCCGAGACAATTTTAGATCCGCACCTGAAAAAAAATTTAAGCTAAAAACTCAGTTTCAAATCAGAACCCGAAAAAAATTTCATTTCGATAACATGCAGTTAAAAAAATTTCTGGCATTTGAAATTTTTTTTGTCCGTAATATAAACAATGAACACAAGTAAAACAGTTTTTGGAAAATTTGTAGTTTTGCATTTAAAAATAATATCAAAAAAACTTCCAGTAACTATCAATTTCTTTTTGCTTGCGAGATTTTTTTTCTTAACTGCGTGGCCGCTTAAGTTTTTTTCAAAAAGTTGCAACTGAAACAAGGATAGCCGGCTACTGTAGTCTTAAGAACTACAAACAAGACTGCTCATATCAGGGCAAAACTCTGAATGCTCCAACTGCCATTTAAGCCTATGGAGCATTAATAACATGAAAAGTATAAAAGTAGAAAAAAATTGTTCTATCTAATTCAGAGTTTTTTTTGCGAAAATTGTTTCCCCACACGCCAAATAAACTACAAAGTGATCGATTTCGCTCCAAAAAACAAATCACTTATGGCAAAAAAGCTTCCTTCAACCAATTTGGAACTGTTTCTAAGACGGTTTAAATCTGCGCTTACGCGTTAATAGCGCGAGTTATATCGCGCGTTAATCGTCCCAAATTGGCCAAAAGGGCAATTTTTAAAATCCCCATAACTTTATGAAAAATGATCACATGTGAATTATTTTCTCAAAATTAAGCCCAAGACAACAATACCTTTTGAATAATATAAGAATCCGTGTAAAATGGCTAGTTAAAAAGTCGAAACTTGTCTGAAGAAAAAAAACCCAACCCGAGCACAAAAATTTAGTTACTTTCGTATCGAAAGTCGGAACAAATAATTGACGTGTTTTCTGCGTTCTGTGTGGTTTAAGAAAAAATCTTAAAAAAATAGATTTGGACATGTTCGACCACCGTAGCAAAAAATCTAATTGGATTACATTGTTTGTATAAAAACAACTTGAAAAAAAAACGAACAAAAAAGTTCAAATTTTAACTTGAAATTAGACCAATAGTCAAACCTTTTAACTGGATCTTCGCGCAGAGTTTTTTTTTGGAAATTTGTCAAAAAAGCGTCGCCTGTCTTGTTTTGACGCTTTCCCATTTTAAAAAGCCGTAAATCACGTTGTCAAGCGAAGAGTACTGGGTTTTTATCAATAGTTTTCCTACTTTATATCATTAGCTTTATTTTTGCAGGAAAGACAAATCTCAAACACAAAGTCAAAATGCATCAAATTTAGGAGCTGCTAAGATCAATGTCAAATCTTAGTTGCTGTTATCTCTGTCTTCCAAAGAATGTTTATACTTCCAATAATCATAGTCTTTTCCTTTTTTGTACACCTCAAACAAACGATTTTCCCAGACTTCCCCTTCTTTGTCCATTTGTTTTTTCTTCTCACGCTGAGCTTGTTCGACTGCGTGTTTGGCTTTCTCGGCCTCCGGCCAGCTCCGTTCTTTGAGGTTGGCGATTAGATCTTGCCACACACGACGTGATTCGTACTCTTGTTGCTCGTCAAGCGGTCTAGTAATTCAAAAAGGTCTAGTATGACATAAATATTTGAAATTTCTACTACAGAGCTGATTTAAATTATCAGGAAAAAACAAACAAAACTTGAATTTTCAAACATGTTTTTCTCAAATTGGGTTAAGATTAGACAAAAGTGAACTGAACAAAAGTTGCTGAGAATTTCACCAGAATTAATATGGTGCCATTCTTTCTCCGAAATTCTCAACAAAAATTTTACCCCAAAAATGGGTTATTTTGGGTTTTTTGAATTAATCAAAAATTACGCTGAAACTATTTAGTTAATTGAAAGAGAAAAATACATCACAAGGAGCCTCGTACACATCCCAACAAAATTTAAGAAGGGTTAAGTCTCCAAAAATTTGCGCAAATTTTTTAAAACTTGTTTTTAAGCAAAAAGTCTGGGTTTTATCTAGTAAAATCACATTTATGGAATATCAAGTAATTTTTTTTCTCTTATACCGGTTTTTGGAGAATTAACCCTTTTTAAACTTTGTTGGGCTGTGTAAGAGGCTACTTGTGATATATATTTTTCATCAATTAACAAAGTAGTTTCAGCGTAACTTTTGATTAATTGAAAAAAGCCAAAATGACCCATTTTTGGGGCAAAATTTTGGTTGAGAATTTTGGAGAAAAATTTGCACCATATTAATTTTTATGAAATTCTAAGCAACTTTTGTCTCGTTCATTTTTTGTCTAATCTCAACCCATTTTGAGAAAAACGTGTTTGAAAATTCAAGTTTTTGTTCATTTTGTCCGGTTAATTTAAATCAGCACTGTATTTTGAGATATCCATTTTTAGTGACGGACCCTAAAAGTTTTCTAAAGGAGCCTTTGGCGCCAATTTATACTAACTGTGAGGTTGGAAGCGCGCGTTGAAAAAATGCGAATTTTTTGTCAACATTTTCCAAAAAGTACCTAAAAACTCTCATTTTGGCCTGTTTTTTTTTATTTGGCAGTGAAAAGCGCCCACAAAGTACGGGCCATGACTTTTTCCAACTCTTTTTGATCATTTTAAAATCACAATACGAGAAAAACTAACCTGACTCGTTTCTTCAGAATTGTCATTCCATCTACAGTCAAAAATGGTCTCCACATATCATCTGAGATCTTGGTCTTTTTGTCGATACTGTCAGCAGTGAATATTTTCACCTCTTTGTTCCAGTGACCTTTCAACGATAGATTACATAGCTTTTTTCTATCGCCCCATCTCCCCAAGTTCGTTTAAAAATTATTTTTTCGCGAGAGCGTTTGATTTTGCAAGGTTGTGTATAAAGATCAAATGTTCGCAGCACTGGATAGTTGCGAGACATTAGGGTTCGTTCAAAACTGCATCAAAAAACTAAACTCAGCCAAAATAGCCGCTTGAGGAGATATGCATAGTGAGTTAAGTCCTTTGTGGTTAACTCATAGAGTAATTTCGGATAGGGTACACCGTCTGCTCGTCACGCTATCTTATTTTCGGCCGGATAGATTCGTGCAACTTCTTAGTCTAATACCGATCCTAATCTTACTCTTATACTTTCTAGTCTCAGGGTGTTTAACTAGTCTCTGCTAGGCACAATAGATCTAGGGTATACTGGTTTGTTGCGGCTTCTGAAGTTCTCTTGGAGAGACAACTAATTTCTAAGTTAAATTCAAATCTCTCTGCTGCTGAAATTACAAGTAATTTCAGCACTTACAAATAAGTGGGTTGTTAGTTAGATGGATTATGATTGGTTAATATTAAATACTTTACAGTGGTAAAATATCTAATTTATCCAATCATAAAATATAGTTTAGATCAGGTTCCAATAGCGAAAACTGCAAGTTTCAGGAAAACCATCTAAGACTATAAATCTTAAACTTTCTCGCGGTAAGAGTAGCAAGTTTTGCAATTTTTCTTCAAGTGAATTTTCTCAGATCAACCTTTATTGGCAATTTTGTGAAAACTAATAAATCAGTAAATTTAGGTAAAAATCTGAAAATGAACTTTATAAAATATTTATACAAACTACAAAATAATCTGTAAGATTCTTTATGTATCTTAGACTATGTACAAAATAGTCTGAATGTATCTTATCTGTAGGCCGCATGCAAACAAAATTAAAACTAGTGTGTTTTGATACCAAACACAAACTGAACCTTTAGAGTATTATCAATTATCAAAAAAAGTATCAAAATTTTACTGTAAAATTTACGATTGATTTATAATCTGTAAATTTTTTTTATTATAAACAATTTTATCCAATTTTGTTACTGCGGGTAGCATTTTTGCAATAACAAACTAGGGTGAAACCGAATATGAAATATACTTTTTACACTTTGATTCTTTTAAATTTTTAAGCTCAGATTTCTTTCTTTTTTTTTTAAATTTTGTCAACTTTGTTTAAAACGACCCTGCAAAATTTGTGAATCAGAAGTCATACAGAGAAATTCAAAGTAGGCCAAAAAACAATCAAAATATCAACTGTTCACTTTTTTCCGAGTTCTTAACGCTTTTCTCACCAAACTGGGCAAATCAGTTTTTGTAGTGTCGATCCTTGCAAACTGTTTCATTTTTTTTTCATATTTGACAATGTCACATTGCAGAAAAGTTAAAGTTTTGAGGAAAAAATAATTAACGAATTTTACAATCCATCTACAGAAAACAATCTCATACGGTTGCTTAATAACTGTTTTCTTCAATAGGGTTTGTTGAAGACATGAAAAGTGAAAAGAATACATTTGTTATCTGCAGGTTATCATCGAGGTGAGGCGGTTAACTCACTCATCTCATCTTGAATGGTTATCTTGCAAAATCCAAAATGAACTCTTACAAGCTCCTTGAGTCGTTTTTTCCTCCCTTTTCAAAAAATGAGGAATTTGTAGTCATGAGTGGTTTTATTCAGACCAATTTTACAAAATTGTGATCCTTGGGGGGATTGATTTCTTTATCTGGATGGGCTCAGTTGGTTGCGCTTGTCACTGTAGTAACCAGCCACGAAATTTAAAAACAGCTCGTTTTATACTTTCCCTGAGGCAAATTATCCCGAACAACAAAAATTTTCCAAATTGAATTGTATTCGAGAGCAATTAACTTAGAGTCGGAACATTCAGGGTTTTGCCCTGATACGAGCAGTTTTGTTAATTATCTTGTAAGATGATCTTGCAAGATAACAATCAACAATCAACTAGGGTGGGTTCGTGGGTTGATCTTCAGCATCAAAATATAAAAAATCCAACGTTCATTTCATTTGATTTATAGAGTTTACAAAAACTCGGAACAGACAAAAATAAGTAAAAGGAGCAAATGATCAATTTGAGACAAGTTCATTCAAAAGCTAAACTTTCACACAGAAAGTATGTGATGCGGTTACCTAAGGTTCAATTTTGCCGGCACAAAATGTTCAAATTTGGCAGATTTCTTTTTTCAATAATATCTGTCTGTTTCAAGATTTTGAATTTTTATATGATCACCTTTTAAAGCAGCAAACTGAACATCCTCTTTGTTGAACAACTTCCCCGACACGGAGTGTAAATTGGCAGCTGATCCGAATGACCCCTTCGTGTGGAATGTGACCTCGGCTCTGAAACCAGTTTCGAGACACGTCACTGAACCCTTGTCGCCCAATTCAGCCCAGGGTTTGGATAAGATACTCCGGCCGTATACTGTTGGGTACTGGATTTGGTAGGTTTCGTTGTAGTCCAAATATTTCAACAGAGATTCGCCCTCCATTTTTGCGACTGCGCTTAGTCCTATTCAAAGAAACTGGCCTATTTTTCTTAGGTTTAAATCATAAACTGCGGACAGCCAAAAACAATAATCAGCGTTCACATCAAAAGCTATCCAGGTTTTTCTCGGGGATATTGAAATTTCATCAACTTTTTTTTATATCAATCAGATAAACTTTTCGAGCACTCTCGGATCAGTAATATTAGTTTTTCTGGACTCTTTTCCGCTTTCCCATAAGTTGAATCTTCAGTTTTGAAAAGCTAGCTACCATTATACGTTGTCGTAATCTTATGAAATTTTTCATAATGAAAAAAAAACTAACTATAGTGAATTATTTGTTTTTCACGCCTTTCATCGTAAAATCACGCATTCAGCCATAATAACACGCAAAACAACTGAAAAAACGGAAAGTTTGAAGTATTGGGGGGGGGGGGTCCTTTTCTGTTCTTAAGAAATACGCGGATGAATTCGGAGATGATAATGTTTCTCGATTATCGTAGTTAGTTCAAACTGACCTGACAAACTGCTCTTGGCCAAAACATGGCCCGTCATTTGGATTCGTTTCTTCAAAGATTCAGCATAGAAAGCTGTGATTGGGGGATGATGTGACACTTGTTCAGCTATGAAAATGACGTCTTCTTCGCCTGCCCACGGAATAGGACTCGGATCACCTAGTAATTTAAAAACAAAAACTTTCACTCGCTCAAGGGTGATTGGTGGTGAAGTGGTTACGTCTTCGCATATGAAACTAATGGTCAGATGTTCGAGGCCCACCATGTCCAAGCTGGATGCTTGAGGTTGAGGCAACCTTAACCAGCTCAGAAAATAGCCGAAACAATGGCATTTAGATTTCAACCAGGGGAACAACAGCGGATCTACGTGATGAGCTAGCTCGTATGTTGGCGCTTTCCTCTGTGGATAAACCGTCTATATAAAATTATCAAGTACTCTATACTATCATTTTAATCAATAGTGTTCAGCTAAAATCAAGTTAAGTTACAAATTATAAAGCTCAAGGATATATGCAGAAATTACCCGAAACGTCCATGCGAGACGATGTTCGGCTACCGGGTCTCGAGTTTGCTCCATTCGGAACGTCAAGGTTATTTGTTCCGAGATATTGTCCAGCGGGTGCCGGTGGCTGGACTATCAAGTCACTAGAGTAGTAATAGCATTCGAAAACTTCACCCAGAATTGGGTTGAATGGTTTCTTAGAGCGGTCACTCCACCCTGGTTTGAATGAGGATATGTACCATTTTACGACATCCAGAAAGCGATCTTTGGGGTTATCTGGCGTTAACACGTGGGAATATCCGGGAAAGTAGTCTGCATTTGCAAAATAGTTGGCAAATTTTTCCAGCATGCTGAATTTGGATCAAGTTAATTAAACAAAAACGCCAAAGTTACCGTCAAGTTTATCAATTTGCAGGGCCCCATTTCTCAAAGTGACTGGGCAACAATGTATATATATTGTAAACAACTGAAGCAGTTTCATCCAAAAAAGGTTTTTTGGATGAAACTGCTTCAGTTGTTTACAATATATATACATTGTTGCCCAGTCACTTTGAGAAATGGGGCCCTGCAAATTGATAAACTTGACGGTAACTTTGGCGTTTTTGTTTAATTCTACAGAAATAGTTTTAAAAATTTGGAACACCAATTTTTTGCAGACTCACCTATCGTAATCGAAACAATTCTAAATCAGAGCCGCTGAATACATTTAAACAAATTTAAGCTTTTCTTTGTAGAGCGGCGAATGGCTCTTTCCTTTTCCAGCCCATTTTTTTTTATAAATTCATTGTTAGTTCGCATTGTACCGTTGTTAACGATGTTTTGCATGCAGACTAATTAGGTCATGACAAACATATTTAGTCTCCATACTTAACCCTCAAAGACCACTCGTTAAACCATAAAATTGATGCTCGTACCAGGTGGCGGGGGGCAGTAAAAAGAGCCCGGTGAATCATTTAGTTAAGTTTGGATAAAATATCTGTTAACTTGATCCCTGATTTTGGCTAGCAGAAACACTGGCATTGCTGTTTTGGAAAGGTCGCCGCCTTTAACCCCTCCGAGCATGGAGCTGAGCACTTTTTTATTCTCGGTGCCGTCATTGCCTTCGTCTTCCGATTCATCTTCGTCGTAGGCAGTTTCCTTGAATGAATATAGTTAGTGCAAATATGGGAATAAACCAAATTTCAGTGGAAAACTTACTTTTTTCTGTCATCAATCATCCAGATTTTAGTTTAGGTCAGACTTTTAAAAACTTTAAGATTAATCTATCATCTGGACAGAGGATAAAACTCTCTGGCAATAAAACATTGCTTTCATTTTAGTTTTGTGAGAAAGTAACAACGGCATCAGCTTTTCGATTGTAAAGGTTTGTTATCGATTACTCTTGTGAGGGGTTATAGAAATATTTATAGTTATTGCCAAATTGTTGGCATAATCTGTAACCTTGGGCAATTTAATTGGTCAAAAACTTTAGCATATTAGGCTAGTTAGTTTTTCGGAAACCGTTTTTAGGCGTGGAAACTAGCAAAAAGAAGAAAATCGACTTCAAAATGAGCAGCTTTAGTTAAGTAACTTCGTTCAGATTCGTTAAACAAGAAAAAATATTGGCATTAACTATTAATGAGACTCTTCATTCTAAAAGAGTTTGTCAGATTTCTTGCCCAATTTGCCATGTTTGTTGGTAAGGAGATAATTTACTGTTTTTGAATCTTCCTTAATGGCTGAATGAAAGCTTAATGGCTGCCCGCTTTTAATAAAAGTGAAAACAAATCGATTATAATGGATTTTCGTGGTCTTTAAAGTTATAAATATAATCGATTCCCACGTTACGTTCAAACAACAAAATTGAACTAAAAATTGATTTAAATCCATTTTTTCTCGCCAAAACAAAATGCATTATAATTCATTTAGAATCCATTATAATGAATTTTATAATAAGTAGGAAACCACATTAAAATGGATTTTTTTTCCACTTCATTTTTGTTTCGCGCGTCGTGTAAAATTTTGCGAGTATTTCTGCATTTATTAAGTGAGTTATGCAGAAATTTTGCAAAGCTATTGTACGGCTAACCCATTTCTAAAGCTAAACTCCATATTCCGTTAAGTTTTCAAATCCCCCCCCCCCCCCAACGTTTGCCCTTTTGCTCCTCTCCCCCTTTTGCTCCTCCACAAACGCTGGGCAAAACGCTAGGGGGTGTAATGGAAGGTGGATTATTCCACCTCCATTCCCAAATATTTCTAATAAATTAACAAAATTGTTGAAAGGACCAAAATTCAGTTTTTGAATCACATAAAAAGTAACAAAAACATCAAAGTTAGCAGAAAAAAATGAAATTGAACAACAAGTAACCAACGTAACCAACTTTAGTTTAAAACGTAGAAAAGACTTTAGGTGTGTTGAAATTCGTCATCTCTCATCTCAATAAAGTGGAAAAAAAACGATTATAACTTAGTTTCATTGTCAGTGTCCACAAAAAGTGAAAAAAAAATCGATTTTGTTGCCTCGAAAAACAGTAATATTATAATCCATTTTTAATTGATTATAATTGATTTGTTTTCACTTTTGTGGACACTGACAAGGAAAATCAGTTATAATCGATTTCTTATCTGATAAGTAAACAAATGATATGTAGATATTAGCGAACTTCCTTCAATAATGAAAACCATATCTGATAATTTTCTTTAAAAAAATGCAATACAAATTATTGATCTTTTAACTTTTTTTAAACAGGATGGAGATGCATTTGAAATACATGTTATATATAGAGAGTTGCAAAAAATCGAATAGGCAGAATTATTTAAAAACAGCTACTGTATAGACATCAACGGAAGCTGATATTGAAATAAGCATAAAGTCGAAAGTTCAAAAAGCAGAGTTTTCGCTCAAAAACTATAACCACAGCAGGCAATTGCATCCGAAGCCTCATATAGTAAACCTTGAAACCGGAAAATTATTGCTCAGGGTGGCTAATGTTTTTAAGCGATTAGTTTACAAAATCTGAATGAATTGATCGACTTCAATTGTGTTTATTTTTTTGGGGCGGCCTAGTCTGTTTTTTTTTGTTGTTGTTGAAAATAGCTCTTTGATACTTCGTCTTTGTAAAACATCATAAACGGTAGATTTCAGTTTTTCAACCAATTTTATAGTAATTGCTTAAACTAATAATTGTTTCATAGTACAATCTGGACTTTCATGGCAGTATTTAAAAATTAGGCTAGTATGATCATTGGATAATCAACAATCTCGCATTTTGAATTTGGTCTGACAAAAAATCAAGGTTGCTCGGCTTCTGATTTTGCTCGAAAAAACATCGAAAAGCTCTGATTGCTAATTTTTGTCTGTCCGCAATTTTAGCTCTTTATTGGCAAAATCTTTTTTGGTCAACGAATCTGAAAGATATTTTATCCACTAAATGCTCATTTTGATGCCGGATTTTGGTTTTCACCGTTAATTCTACTCGCAAAACTTAATATTAAACTAAATTGTTTTTGTTCTGATCAATTAAATTGCTTACGGTGAGCTCTAAATTTCTAACAACTTGGCATTAACTAAAAGAGCAGCAAAAATGGAACAAAAAGAAATTACCACTAGGAGCAATCTGCCAATTTTGAGCAACTTAGGATGCAAATTTGAATTTTGTAGATTTTAACAATTTTATAGAGCAAGAACTTAACTTTTGAAATAATCCTAACCTCGAGACACTGAAATGGCATTCATCAAAACTGCATTTGTATTCACAAAAAAGCAATGCAAAGTGATTGCACTTTTTTGGCGAATTTAATTTTTGCCTTTTTTAAAGACCACGATTGATAAATTTTGTCAATCAACAACAATTTACTATGCAATTTTTCAGAGCAAAAAAACTAAATTGTCGAAAAAAAATAAAATATTTCTGTCTGTTCCAATTTTTTGCAACTCTTTATAGCAATAGTTGGTAATATCGGTGACCTTGAGCGGCTTATTGCTAAGCATCAAAATGAGCAGCTTCAGGTTTATAAACTTCGTTAGATTCGTTGACCCACAAAAACATATTGCCAACAAACAATTTGGCATTAAATAAAAAAATCACTGAAACAGTCAGTATGAAAAACGGTCTGCTTTATAAGAAAACTTACTCACGCTCCGTAAATAGTATACAAAAGAAAGTAAATAATAAATGTTTTCGGTCGAAAAACAAAAATTAAACAAATGTTGACGAAAGGACCCTTAATAAGTAAATTTAATGTTTCCTGGGAGAACAACCGCTGGATCCGCTTCCAGGCATGGATTCGAGTACTGAGACACCGGAACACGGAGACAACTGATCCTTACTAAAAATCTCAATTACGGTAGGTTTTCCTAGTAGAACGATGACAAAGAAGTAAAAGAAAAAATAGACGTTTTAGATGCTACAATTGAAATTATTTTTGCTGCCAAGCAGGGGCGGATCTAGGATTTTCTCGAGGGGGTGGGGGGGGGGGGCGGATTTTCAAAAAAATTTTGAAAAATTTAACTACCTTTTTTTTAGGTCGATCAGATTGATTTTCCGAGCTCTCCCAAAGCAGTAAAAAGACCCTGTTTCGGCCAAATTTTCTGCGCCGCAGGCAATTTTTTGAAAAAACAGGTCAAAAAAGCCGTTTTTGGGCCCTTTTTGGAAAATTTTGACAAAAAAAAAACGCGTTTTTTTGGCGCGCGCTCCCCCTCAAAATTAGTATATATTGGCGCCGAAGGCGCCTTAAGAAAAATTTTAGGCTCGGTCGGCCAAAAATGGATTTCTTAAAAAGTACCAAAGGGGGGACCCTTTGGGTTGGCAGGGGTTCGAATCCCTGAGGGAAGGGCGTCCACTCCCCCTAAATCCGCCCCTGCTGCCAAGTATTCTGAATCTGTAGAAAAAGCAGATCAAAATCAGAAGTTTAGTATGTATTTAAAGAAATTAGTTGAACATGTAGTGCTTTTTCATGTTTTTTTTTCAGAATGTTTTTGAAGAAAAATCATGTTGAGTAAACTTTGAATGATAGCACACGAAGTTTTTTAGGACATTTCCTTAGATATAACAACATTTAAGACTCGCAGGAGCGGGCGGATTTAGATGGGGAGGGCGGGGTGTATGCGGAGGGGGGGGGGGAGCGGACGCCCTCGCCCCCCCCCCCCCTCAGGGATTCGACCCCCTACCAACCCAAAGGGTCCCCTTTGTATTATTCTGAGATATCCTTATTTGGCGCCAATATATATTAATTTTGAGAACGGTGCGCGCGCCAAAAAAACGCAATTTTTTGGTCAAAATTTTCCAAAAAGTGCCTAAAAACGCATTTTTGGCCTGTTTTTCACAATTATTTGAAAGTTTTTTGAAAGTCCGCCCCCTCCCTCGAGAAAATCCTAGATCTGCCTCCTGAAGGCTCGGATTGTATTTTTAGTTTTTTGGTTCTCGTTAGTTAGTTACTGTAATTTAGAAATTAAAAGCAAACTGACATGAACTGTATCAAATAGACCTGTAAGTTTGCTAATATTCTGGTTTTTTGAATGATTTCACTTAACTGATTTTTCTTCTTGCAATGCGACTTTTGTTAAATTCCTAAAACACCCCAAACCCCCCGACTCACTCGAACTACAGAAGGTGACGCATTATCTGCATCCCTCTCCCCTCCACTTCCATCATCCCCTTCATCTGTACCCCCAGCAGTGGCCCTACTGGGTCCATAGATAGTACTAGGCTCCCCTTCACTGCTGCTTCTGTCATCCGAGTGGGTGGGGGCATCTGACTTGGCATCAAACCATTCGGTCTGAGTGTCGGACCAGGTTTGCATGCGAACTAGTCTGGGTGTCTTACCCACTGAAATAAATGGAATCAAATTGACATACAAACTCAATAAAAAATATTTTTTTACAAGCCAGAAACGTAGGTTTTGAATTTAGTTCGGCTTGGGATAATATCAAAAAGGAATCAGCCTGTCGGGTGGCATCTCCAATTAGTTTTTTTCCTTCTTTACTCTTCCATTATGATGTCGATTAAAGAACAAACACTATCGCTGTAAGAAATATAAGTATAATGAACAGTATAATGATTTTTTGGACAAGATTTTTTTTAAATAACATTAACATATTGATTTTTTGACAAGCACTTGAGAATTTTTTTTGCAGGCGCTTATTCGCAAATTCGGTAGATGCTATTAGTGATATTGATTATGAAATTGTTATCTGAAAGTATTAATTTTTTGTTGACATAAAAATTTTGCATCATTATCTAAACAAAATAGTCCTGTCGAGATGTGAAAAATTGGGAGGCGACAATTCATAACAGGTGACATTTCGTAATAGCAGATTCAGCGGGGAACACTGATTCGCGCGCAGTGTTCCTCTCGTGTCGGATATAAGCGCAGCGGAGCAAAGCCGAGCAAGCGTGTTCTACTAGCCAATGCCTTGTTACGAATAGTCGCCTGTTACAAATTGTCGTCCTACCGCAAAAAATGGTAATCTTTAGACAATTTCATTTTATAAGTACTGCTGCAGATACCTTATTGGGCGGTTGGATCATTCAGGGCTTTGACCCGATAAGAGTGGTCGTTTTCATGTTCATAACAATCTTTGAAACTATGCGAAATCGTTTCCAAATCCCTCTCGACTATTCGGTTAATAACTGATCCACAAATAAAATTTAATGAAGGAGAAAGCCTAATGACAATGCAGTGAAACGCCTCAAATTTTTTAACTGAAGTTTTTTTTAGCGATTTTACGAAGTAATACTTTTGACTTGAAGTCAAAATTGTAAAATTTCTAATGAAAATTTTCCGATTTTTTTTGTGTCAATCGATGCAATTATTTTCATCAGTAGTTTTATGAAACAGCAATTCAAAACTTAGTTTCAACAATCAAACAGTTGACACATAAAAGATCTAAATTTCATTTGTGTAGAACAGTTCTGACATATGCAGTATTACTGCGTAAAAAGTGTCACATTGATGCGTATTTTCTGGTATGAAAAAATTTAGTCACATGAATTTGTTATGCAACTAGCTGTTTGTAATTGCTTCAAAAACACAAATATTCAAAATGCCAAGACAATATGTTGTATTAACAACGGAAACAAGTAAAAGATTTAAATCAAATGATTATGTAAAACAGGATAGGAGCTTCAACGTTCCTTTTTTTTCGGTCAATTACAATGTCGATAAATTATGAAAAAAAGTAGATTCAGTAGACTAATATAACTATTTTTCTTTTAAAAATGATTAGATTTTAAGGAAAAACTTGCAGAGCGAACTGTTCAAAATTGATTCAAGTTATGTCACGATCATTCAAAAATCGAAAAAATTTACGTTTAACAAAAACAGCTTGTTCCTCGGGTCGATCTCCAAAATACTATTACGTCCAAAAAAATTCCATACAAAGTCGTCATGATAGTCCGTTTTTTTGTGCATTTTCGCAAAAAAAATTAAACCTTCATAGTTTTTTTTTGATTAAAAACTTTTCTGATCATGAAAAAGGCCTAGTTTGCACGAAAAAGTGATTATCATAAAGTTCTCATAATCTAAAACTGTTCCCTAATAAAATTAAACATGATTTTTTTTTGCTTTTTTGTGTCAATTAAAAATACTTTAGACCTGAAACAAATATCATAGTTCAAAAGAAGAACTGTTTCTTAAATACGGTACTCTCATAAAAAAAACGACAAGTTGTGTTTATTATTACGTGAAATTTGTCCTAGAGGAATTCTAGAAACTTTTGTTTTCTAGTTTAAGTTGTTTTTGGTACAGTTATTATACGCAAAATGCATTTAAGAAATTTTTGAAGGCGTTTCGAGAAATTGTATTAAAAGATTTTTTTTTCTTTTGATTCTTTGTATGGATTTCTTTAACAAACATTTTCTGAAGCTTTACTAATTATATCATTTGATAGTTTCAAATGCAATTTAAAATACAACTCTAAAACTTATTAAAATCTAAAAATGATTACAACTCTCAACAAAAATGAACTGAAAAGGGTCTTTTTTTATCCGACTTTCAAAAAACATTACAGAATCTTTGTGCTCGTTTTAGTTTCATAAAAGTTTGCTTTTCAACTAGGATTTTCGACATATTTTGTTACATTAGCCGTAAAATTTTCATGTCCTGAGCTTAATTTTTAAAATATATATATTTTACCTGTCACCATTTTTCGTAAAATTCAGAGGGTTTAAAGATAGACAAATAGCCGTTATGGGACATTTAACTTCTTTTCTTTTTAAATAGAAGCAAAATCTATCATTTTGTTTTTCATATGGCGTGTGGAGGATGATTAAAAAAGTATCGAAAAATGGTTTTGCTTTTAACTTTTCTGAAAGGTATTTGGTATAATTACTGATTTGCTCGCATTGATTGAAAAAAAAACATACTTTGTTTCAGTTAGGTACAAAAAATTACAATTCACAATGTATTTCAATATCATAATTATTGTTAACGCATTTATTGCTGGCAAAAGCGGTGACCCTTGGCAATTTACTCAGTCAAACCTATAATATAGTAGTTAATTAGTTTTTTGGACAGGGTTTTTACACAAAAAAATTAGCATTAAGAAACATATAAATGGCGTAAAAACGGGCAGTTTCAGGATAATGATTTTCGTTCAAATTAGTTAACCAAAAAAACAACATAGCATCAACAATAAAAAAACTAGCTCTTAAAAACTTCTTTTTTCAAAACCACTCAAATATTGGAAACGATATTTGGAATCGGGTCGCATACAGTGTCAAGAATTTTCTCAGTTTCATGAATTTTGATGAGAGGACTTTACACTGCTTTGACTTTGTTTACTGATAATTCTCTTCATTCATTAAATTATATCCCCTAATGCATTTGCCTTTATACAATATGAAAATAACTCTTTTTTCCATTTTTTGTCGATTTTGAGTTTTTCTCCGTATATGCGTATGGTCAAAACATCCTTTTCCGCATCCAGTTTCTAGCGTTAATAATCGATTATAATATGATTTTAGTACCATTCTTATAAAAATTGTGAAGAAAGTGATATTAATCAATTAGTAATCTGTTATAATCTCTCTTTTTAGAATCAAAAATAATCAATTATAATACATTATAATCGATTATAATCGCTTGTTTTTATCCAAATTTTTAATTTATTTGTTTTGCAGAAAAAATCCATTATAATCATTTTTAATTGTTTATAATACCCTTTGCTTGCCCATTTTGTCTTCGACCTTCTACATGAATTGCTTATACTTTATGCTTTTCTTGGACGCTGGTTTTTGTAAAAAATGCGAAAATTGTTTCAACAGTTTTCAAATCAATTCAAAGGTATAAATAACCTTATTTATATTTTCTTCTTGATTATAGTTGTTTCATGATGCCAATTTCAAGTTTGTTTGACCAACAAAATATCAGCATACTGCTTTAGTTTCATGATTTATATTGAAGAACCATAGTTCACCTACCGCGGGATTCTTTCAACTAACATGAAGAGATCTTTATGAATTTTTTTGTATCGCGGTAAAACTTTGTGTTCAGATGAACCGAAGAGTGACAAGAAATCTAGTTTTTAGAGATTTTTAACAGCAAAAAAGGATTATAATATATTATTATAGATAAAAATTGAGTATAGGAGATTATAAGAGATTATAAGAGATTTCCGGAAAAATGTTATAATTGATTATAATTTCTTATGATGTCAGGAAAAATGCTACTATTATAGTGGAAAATAAATCGTTCATTATGAGGTCAAGCTGCAATTTTTGTGACTTGTGAGCGGATTTCGCAGCCTGCAAAAATTTTATGTGTCGTGGAATCCGCAATTTTGCTGTTTTTCTGTGATCTTCTTTGCTGTTTTGGATTCCACTAACAAATAGCTAAAACACTGTATTGCTCCAAAAACAGGCACTTTTGCGGAATCCATGAGCATATAATATTTTATGGGTTTAGTAAACTGAAGCTGTCGCGGAAACCGCAACTCTAAATGGAACCCGCAAGTTGTAAGCGGAATCCGTAAAATGTAAGCGGATTCCTCAAATTGTAGGCGGAATGCGCAAATTGTAAGCGGAATCCGCATAAATTTGCAAATTCCACTTACATTTGCGGAATCTGCTTACGTTTGCCGAATCCGGAACAAATACTTCTATTCGCTTGTTGCGGAATCCGACACAAAATCAATGTGCCGACAAAATTTAGAGGCATTTGTACGCGGAAACTACTGAAATCTTGTAAGTGGAACCCACTTACATTTTGGAACATATTTAAAGACTTGTCTCTGGAATCCAGCAACATACAGACACAAAATTGTGCGCCTATCCAGTGCACAGTTTGGCCTCGTATTGCTTGAACATCTAAATTTGGCTCTTATAATTAATTATGATTTTGATAAAAGTAAAATTCTAATTGTAATAAAATCGATTATTTTTCTTCTTACTGAGTGCGGGTTGCTATTTGCACCGCAACCGGCTCTCCTTGTTTTTTTAGTGCATTGTTGGATTACTATTGCATTGTTGGAATAAAATCTATGAAAATCTGTGCTACCTTTATGGCAAACCGAAGATCGATTTTTTTTTTGTTGATGTTTTTCTTTGATTTCTTATTTTGAGATTCGCGAATGGGCTACTAGCTTAAATGATGTATAAATCTGACATTTTCAATCCAATCAATTCATTTTCTTATTTTTAATACAAGCGGGAAAAAGCTCGCTTTGCTTGCAATGCTGCTTTAAAAAAAGATGTGATCAACGGCGATTATGAAGACCTTACAAATATCGCTTGAATCATCAGACATGACTATGCTAACCGAAGGGAGTGGATGTCTCGGATGTCTTGGATCCCTGCTGCTCCTGGTGATCTCTGGACAGGGAGTCCTGATTGTCGTCCAGTTTGTTCACAGCTTCTATCACACAGTCTATGTAAGTGCGACTTATCTCGAAGAACTTGCGAAGGTTTCGCTGCTCGTCCACAGTTACTGTAACACACAGAAGAGCTATTAGTTAGTGACAGTTAACTGATGATTTTAAACTAGTTTATCAGTAAACCGCACACAAAAATGGAGAAGTGATGTTTTGTTGTTCACGTTGACGACATTTAGTGGTCGAGTAATAGAACTTTCTTCATTTTAGTTGATTAGGCTCACCAATTTTTGTATTTCGAATGTTATGACTAGAGATCCGACTGCGAGAACCGACGATTCAATTGCCTGCTCAAAGACTACTCAACTCTTAGACAGTTCAGAGCTTTTTTTCCTTATAAATGGTATGTACTTAATTTTTTTTTAAAATGCTCATTAAAAAAAAACTGACCAAAAATGTTTGAAAAAGTTTAATCTGAGAGGCGATGTTGAGAGTCAGCTATTAAAAACGTCGCTCAAATCACTCTAATCTGACTTGAAAGTGTCATTAAAAAAACCCCGGCGCCATCCTTAGTTTTGATTAAAAAAATGGCCACTTACTAACCTGTGTTGTCTTCTTTGATGGCGTGAATCAAGTTCCGCCTCTGGGCCATCACACTCTGCAGATGTTTCTCTGCCTCCGTCCGAGCCTGGATGAATGCCACCTGTGCACTCTCACTTTGGTCCAGAAGCTGGGTAGCTGGAAACATTTCCAACAATGACTTTTGACTTTTGTTGTTTCACCGTATATATTGTCAAAAAGTTAAGAAAAAATACATTTTTTTTCGAGAAGAATTTCAGTTACAGGCGCGGAAAATTTTAGAGACCGGCGCGGATCTAGGAAATTCTCGAGGGGGGAAGGCGGATTTTAGATTGCCCAAAAAGTTTTTCTGAGCTCTCCCAAACCACTATAAAGACCGTAATTTGACCAAATTATCTGCGCAGCAGACAAATTTTTGAAAAAAGGCCAAAAAATCGCGTTTTTTTTTCGGCGCGCGCTCCCCCCTTAAAAGTAGCATAGATTGGCACCAAAGGCGCCGTTAAAATTTTAAGGTCAGTCAGCGTCAGCCACAAATAGATATCTGAAAACAGTACAAAAGGGGGACCTTTTGGGTCCGCAGGGGGTCGAATCTGTTTAGAGAATAAAAATGTTTTTGTTTTAAAAAGACATTCTGATCAAAATTTTGGATGTATTAGATGCATTTCCTATGTTTCAGATCTTTTTTAGCTTCGTGAAGAATGATTATTTTCATAACATTGTACAATTATTGTCATTCCTTTAAAAATTAAATCTATTGATGACTATAAGTTACCATAAACGGGTGCAATGATTGCCATACCTCTGGACTGTCTCTGGTGTTCGACTGCCGAGTGCATCTGGACTATGGACTTGATCTGTCTCACCCACTCTTTCTTGGCAGCCTCGTCCACAGCTTTGAATCTACTTGTCTTTCCCTTTTAGGAAACAAAATCAGAAGTTAAACCAAAAAAAATTTTGTTCAGGTGGGCTCTTTTTCCTTTTCTGCACAACCTGCAAGTTTTCCAGGGTAATTTTTCCGTTCACATTGTTGGATTGTTCTGAAATTTGGCATACAGACTAATTTTGCCATGACAAACAGATATGGTCTTAATACTCAACCTTGTAAAACCACTCGTTACACCATGAAATTGATGCTTTGTGAGGTGGGGGAAAAGGAAAAATAGCCTACAGGTGTAAAGCATTATCATGATGGATATTATACTACCTACTGTGAATAGTTATCTTTGTCATATATGATTTGATTTAAGAAAAAAATTCGATTCATTGATTAAACTTTTATCTTAAGAATAGTTACTTTTCTGTATTCTACCTTTGAGTCTGTGAGTGAGAACTGAGTTCGGGTTCCGGCGACTTGTTCTACGATTGAAGTCGTGAGGTGGAAGCAGTTTTCGCGACGACCACGCAACCGATGCTCCTCAGTTTTGTACACACTGATTAAACCAAATATATTTTTTTAACATGTGTTAGATAAGAACTGGTATTTTTATCGATAATTTTCAATAAAAAAATTCCCTCTTGGCAAACGAAGTTGAAAAAAGTGAGAGTTTTTTTCCGTTCCAAGTTTTTGTTATTCAATTCGTTTTTGTTATAGTAGAAGTTGTATGAAAGTTGATAAAATGTTAGAAAATAAAAAGTTTTGAAAATTAGCAGAAACTAAAAATTGTTTGATAGAAAATTCTTTAGAAGTTTCAATTATTGTCGAATATGTGATCTAAACATGCCTTAGTAGTCCAACGTCTTTGTTCAGAGCACAGAACTTTGGTTTCCAGCCTTTTCCACCGTGTTTCGTTTTGAGGATGCCAGTGAATGTGTCGGCAGCAGTCACAATAGAGCTCGTAGTGCTCTCCCGCGGCACGCCAGACGCAGCAACCTCAGAGGCGGCGGTGCTTGCTGCAACAATTTCGAATTTACTTCGTAAAGAGAAAGCAAAACTCGATTTTTCCATTAAATTTCCAAAAGCTCTTTACTGGCGGCTTTGCTATTTTCGATGTTTAAATTACAAGGAGATTATGGAGGAAGGGTGTTATAGCTTAGTTTTGTTCGACCAAGCCAAAGAAAGTGTTAAGAAACTATGGCGTATAATTTGTTTGTTTTTTTTCCGACCAATTTGATAACCTCAACAAAAGCTCATGTCGGTCAATTGTAGTATCATATTAAAACATGAGAAAAAATCTAAAAAGCCGCAAGAAACACCCCCCCCCCCCCCCCCCCCCCCCCCCCCAATGGTTTTCTGACAAAATTACATCCGTCGGTCTGAAATCAAGCTTGAAAATTTTAGATTACTTTCTGCAAATATTAACCCCTTTTTAAAGTTGTAATTGAATTCAAGACCCTTTTTATATGGAAAATAGAAATTTTGGGATCGGAAAAAAGAAATTGAAGAAAGCTTTTGCTGACCCATTTTCATTCTATTTAATTATTGTTCCGACTTTCGATACGAAAGTGACGGAATATTTGTGCTCGGGTGGGTTTTTTTCTTCAGACAAATTTCGACTTTTTAACTAGCCATTTTTGACAAAACTTTTTAAATCATTCAAAAGGTATTGTTGTCCTGAGCTTAAATTTGAAAAGATATTTCACCTGTAATCATTCTTTGTAAAGTTACGGGGGTTTGAAGATTGCCATTTTGGTCAATTTGGGACAATTAACGCGCGATATATTTCGCTATTAACGCGTAAGCGGAGAGTTAATCCGCCATAGAAATCGTTCCAAATTGGTTAAAAGAAGCTTATTTGCCATAATTGGTTTGTTACAAGGAGCAAAATCTATCCTATTGTTTTTTATATGGCGTGTGGGGGGAGGATTTTCATAAAAAAATTTCACATTTTAAAAAAAAAAAATTTTTTTTTGCTTTATTTCATTGACTTCTTTAATGTTATTACTGCTCCATAAACCTTAAAAGCCAGTCGGAACATTCAGGGCTTCGCCCTGATACGAGCAGTCTTGTTTCATTAGACTTCAATATTGTTCCGACTTTCGATACGTTAAGTTTAGATATCTTGTTCATAAAATAAATGTGTAGGAGAACAACCAAATAAGGAGATATTTTGAGATTCGTGACTCATATCACAGCTTAAATACGGACCCTTTGTGAAATGTTGCAAGCAGAATCGAAGGGGGTATGAACAAAAAAAGTGTTTCAAAATGAGATTATACAAAAGTATTCCCTACCGGCTTTCTTACCAGATCTCCCCACAAAACAACAAGGCGTCCGCAACTGCAGAGCGAAGTCAATACTAAACAACCCAATAAAGCGCAAAATTCTGGGGCGCTGATTGGGAAAATGTTTTTTTTTTCTTGTTGTGTTTTCAGCTGAGTTTCAACTGAGAAAGAAGTGCATACATATACCTCTGTCACGTATCATCACGATAAGAATCAGAAATAATTTTTTTGTACCGCCAAAATTAACAAAGAGATTTCTAGCTAAAACAATCTCTAGCAATCAAAAAAAATTGACGTTTTTCTAGTGACTCTTGTGTTTTATACGAAAAGGAGGCAAGGACGAAGTGTTCGTTTCTACGTAGCGCCCAATTTGTTTAAGGCCGATCACTAAAAGCTCTAGTAAATGGAATAATATCCACAGTTGCGGTTTGTCTCACTTCGAAGTTTGCGTTAATACAGGGACGTTATCTATTTTTCCGTCTGTCTGAGTATCAAGTGGGTTAAACTCAGAGAGTTTTTTTCATTCGGTAAAATTGTTCTACTTTTTTGAAAGAAACTTAAAATACTTGCTTTGCCGTGAAACTTAAAATACCTGAGCTTAAATTTGAAAAGATATTTCACCTGTGATTATTTTTCATAAAGTTATGGGGGTTTAAAGATTGCCATTGTGGCCAATTTGGGACAATTAACGCGCGATCTTAGAAATCGTTCCAAATTGGTTAAAAGAAGCTTATTTGCCATAATTGATCTGTTACAAGGAGCGAAATCTATCCTTTTTTACTTAATATGGCGTGTGGGGGGATGATTTGCATAAAAAATTTCAAATTTCAGAAAAAAAAGTTTTCATTTTATTTTATTACCTTAAATTTTTTTATAGGTTATTACTGCTTCATAAACATTAAAAGGCAGTCGGAACTTTCAGGGCTTCGCCCTGATCCGAGCTGTCTTGTTCCTTTAGTTAATTATTTCTTTAGACTTCATTAGATGCTATGAGCACTGTAAATTAAAATTAAAAACAATCATAAAATAATGCTCATTCAAATTAAACAGTTATAAGAATTTATTTTTATTCAATAAGGCTCATAAGACGTATTGCCTATTCAACAGATTCATTCCAAAAATACCTACCTGATAACAAGGAAGTTTTTAGATTGTTTCTTTTAATGGTAAGTATAGAATTAAAATCAAGGATGTCTATCAGATAAGCTATTAATTTTTTGATTGTAAACTTTCAAATGGCCAATGATGCAAACATCAAATGAATTGAATTTTTATAACAATTTTTTGCAAAATCACTGATTGTAGTACCATCAGGAACAAAAAAACCAACGGTACCTTAAGGCTTGGTGCAACTGATAACAGGAAGCAAAATATCAAATTACTGATATTTTTGTGTCAGTTCTGATACAAATAAATTTATGTGGCATACATGTTGCAATGTTTAATTTTCAAGCAATGTAATGAACGATAGCTGTTTAATGTTTGTACCGTTTTCTCTACAACAACTAGAGATTAATGGTTGAAATTTTGGCACAAGATGATTGAACCCTATTATTAGAAAATAATCTGAAAAGGATTTCACGGCTAAAAACAGTTTCTTCCAACATATAATAGAATTTCAACCGTGAGTTGTACAGAAAATTGGCTCAAAGGTCGAATTTTTTTTTTCATTTCATCGCTTCATCACTTAAATGTTAGACCTGAATGTCACGTTTTTTTTTCAGTTTTATCAAAAAAGTCAAGTTGTTTATTTTTCTATAGTAAATCAGATTACGAACGAAACAATTTTTTATTTAGATACTAAATTTGTTTCGGCCGGATTTTCCAAAATCTTGGGCCTACATATTCGAAACTTAGAGTGCTGCAATAGTTAAGTTCAGATTCTCATTTGGCTACTGCAAAGTAGTTTTGTTTTCTTTTTGATTTGTTTCAAGCTATCTCCCCCAACTTACCTCAACATTACTGCCAGAATTTTTACTTTCTCAAATTACACCACCTCCATTCCCCCAAGAACTATCCTTTTACAAACAATTATATTAAAAAAAACACCACAAATGGGTGACGCCCCACCTCCTATACACACCTTTACACGCGCTACGGCTATTTGAGCTATCCCCTAAAATTGAAGGGTGGTTTCAAGCTTCTGAAGAGTGCGGTAGGTGTTGGGTTGTAAATGTGTCATTGAAAGATGGGGTTGGGGGGGGGGGGGGGGGGGTAGGTGCGTGTGCATGTGTGTGTGGGTGTTTGCGGGGAGAGGTAGTCGTATGTCTAAAGGGTAGGGGGTACGGTAGGTAAGATGTGATGAATGAGGGCATTTGGTGATCAACATAGGGTTGTTTAACTTGAGTGGGCTCTTTTCCAGTTCCCCCTTACAAATTCAAACTTGAAAAGCTTATTAAACATTGTCATAATGCGATGAAATTTGGCGTGGTGAACAAATCGACAACTGTGAAAAGATTTGTTCTTCATACTTTACAACATAACATCACGCATTTAGCCGTAATAATACGTAAAACAAAAATAAAACTCGGTATTTTGAAAGGGGGGAACTGGAAAAGAGCCCT